TGCGCCCCGGAGCCCGTCCTGGCCCAGACGCATCTCAGCTCCCGAGCCAGGACAACACGAGCTGCCCCATCTCCTTCTGAGCTGGGCTTGAAATGCAAAATCCCCTTTTCGATTCCTGAACTGAAGAAACGTGGCATGCCAGGGGGTTTAACTAAGGGTACTCACTACCTCCTCCTAGGACCACAAAGCTCATTTAGAATAAAAGTGAGAAAACGGTTGATTTTGTCTTTTCTTGTCTCATTATCACTGCCTTACTCCTAAATTTGGGTCCCTTCCCAGCACGCCTGCTCCTTCCTCCATCCCATTCAGGTTGGACATCGCCAAAATTCAACCAGCCAAACCCTTGGAGTTTTTTTTTCCCCTCCATCTCATAAACGATCAGCTCCTGGTACCTGCTCCTCACCCCAGAAGGTTCCAGCTCTCCATCCCACCAGAATAAAAAGACCAGATGGAGCAAGAGGGTGCGGATGCTCGGGATGCAAAGCAGCACGTCTCCGCTTCGCTCCGCTGCCGCTGCCCTGTTTTACAGCAGCCGAAAATCCAGCTCAAGGATTTTATTGCTGTATATTTGATAAGGCGAGTGGTAATTATAGGGCTACAGCGAATTCAAGGCTGCCGTGGCAGCTGCCTTATTCATGGCCTCCCTCCTCCCGGCCAGAGCAGAGGGAGGGGAGAGGACATCGCGTTTGAACTTCAGAATGAAATGAAAATTTCTCAGTGGGGAAGGAGGAAAAAAAAAAACAGGGGGAGTGGATATAAACCAAATTTCAGTGGCATGATATTAATGCAGTGCAAAGTGATTTATATCACTCCTACCAAACATGTCTGTTAGAAGTAATTTGTATTTAAATGAGAGTAAAAAGGAAACTAATTCCACTCACTCGCCTCGCTCCCCCCCTTTTCGTCCCCGTGACCAGAGCTGGTGCAGAAAATGACTGTATGTTTGTACTCTGAATCCCCTAATTCAAGCGTGTCTTCCACAAAACAAAAAAATCACCCGTGTATTTAGACAATCCCCACTGGGGAGCAAAGTCTGTGGGGGTGGGATGAGGGGCAGAGACACGTCAGGAGGATGCACCCCCCGTGTTTTAAGGGTGTTTATGGATTTACAACAGCTCTGCTTATTAAAAGGAGGAACTCGTAGGAGTGTTCTCAGTTGGGTGTTCTGCACCTCAAGTTAGGCTAAAGATGGTTCTTGCTGCTTCTGAACAGATTCACCCATCTCTAATAATTACCATTAATTAAAAAGCTCTTCGTGCCCTGAGCAAAGTCTGACGGCGCGGGAAGGATTCAGGTTCAGAGAAATCTCTTCAAATATCTTGAGGGAAAAATTTCCAGCGTTTAATTGGAAAGCTGCTGTCTGCAGAGCTGCCTCTGCTATCGCTGCCACCCTCCCCTCCTACCAGCCACCATCGGGACCGATCCTGGGATGCAGGGGGGGTGGGATGACCCTCCTTGGGCCATCCCTTCGTGCAAAAGCAACCAGAGCACCAGTTCTGTATCCTGCCCAAAGGCCTTTCTTGGGAAAAAAAAAAGAAATCAATAAATCAGCAAAGCAGCTGATGAAGCGGCTCTTACCCGTGTGCCCTTCTCTCCGTTGGCTCCTGGAAATCCTGGGAAGCCGATTGAGCCCTTGGGGGAAGAGCAAAGAGATAGCAGTTCAGGAGAGGGAAAGGGGCAGCTCTGCCCACCCATGCCAGGCACCCACTGGCTGGGAATCTTGGGAAAAAAAAAAGAAATCAATAAATCAGCAAAGCAGCTGATGAAGCGGCTCTTACCCGTGTGCCCTTCTCTCCGTTGGCTCCTGGAAATCCTGGGAAGCCGATTGAGCCCTTGGGGGAAGAGCAAAGAGATAGCAGTTCAGGAGAGGGAAAGGGGCAGCTCTGCCCACCCATGCCAGGCACCCACTGGCTGGGAATAACCCCCAGCAAGCCCCCGCTGCCATCTACAGCTCCCCATGCTTTTTTTTTTACCCTTCCTTTAATAAAAACAAAACTGATGACAGACCCAGAATGACCTCAGAAACTAAATTTTGTCCAAAAATAACAAACAAAAAGTCCGTGGCTCATTAGGAGTCACTGCAAAAGCCCAAGCCCATGGTTGCAGTGGGCACCTGGGGAACAGGTAGATTTTTGGGTTTTTAGCTCCTAAGTCATTATGTGTTGCACATAAAAATTTAACTCCTGGCTTGCTCTTTTCTGATGAGAGAGCCTGGAGAATAGCTGCTGCTGCTTTTAAAATATGAATTAGTCGAAGAGATGCAAAAAAACCTTACTCCAGATATAAAATGCAAATTAAAAAATAAACCATCAACACCACAATCAGGAAACAATCTCTTGCAGATAATTATGTCTCCAGTGTTAAACAAGCCCGGGTTTTTTTCAAGTAATGAACATGAATAATAAAATACAATTCTTAAAAAAAAAGTTAACAAAAACATAAGTTCCCAAAGCCTCCAGGGCGTGCAAAAACCAGGCTGTAGCCTTAGTCTATGTAGTGGAATTCACACTTTTAATTTAAAAAGAACATTTGAAAATGGCCCAAATGAAGGTGGGTGTGTAGATAAGACACAGAGGATGTTGGCAAATCTGCAAATGGCAGTTTTATTTTAATTTCAGGGAGACCCTGGTTCATTAGCTATTCTCCTTAATTAATTAGTTAACACTGGTGGAGAGTTTTGGAGATATAAAACATAATAACAAGGAGAAGGGCTATTATGCCCATCACTAGCATGGAAGCTCACATGGAGCCTGTTTATACCCATCACCAAAGCAGCCCTGCCGGGAGCCGGTCCCCACACCGCGAGTGCCGCAGCCCCTGTCCCAGCACATCTCTTCCCACCACTTTCCAGGAGACTGAAGCAATGCAGAACCAGTCACTGATTTCCACCAGCTAAGGGCTGCAGCTATTTTTACCCATCTATCAATTCATCCCACACAGGTGGGAAGAAGGGACGGGGCGGTGGGAAGCGCTGCCGTTCCACCTTGTCCCGTTAGCAGGGGATGGAGCCCTCGGCACTGGCACTGGAGCTCGGCCAGTGTCCTCCCGGCTCCCCAGCACACCCCACAGCTCTCCAGGACTGAACCCGGCTGCGTTACCTTTGGGCCCTGCCTGCCCGGGTAGCCGGGCAGTCCTGGCACGCCGAGTTTTCCCTGAAACACAAAAAAAAAGTACGTTCGCGTGAGCAAGAGAGACCTTGTGAGCAGCTTCGGATTTGCACCAGCAGAGGAGGGAGATGCCAAGTGCAGAGATGTCAAGAGCAAAGCAGACAGGACACGGGTGGAACAAAGCTGGCAGGGCACTGCCACCATCCCCAGTCCTCCCTGGGGGCAGCCCGGTGGGTTTCATGCAGAATGAGCACTGTAAACGTGTTGGGGACCCAGTGGAGAATGGTTCTTTTTTGCTACCTTTTTTTTCAACTGGGTGCACCTAGCAATTAGACTGGAGTCTCTGATACTTTCAATTTCTTTTTTTTTTTCCTCTAGTCTTTTTTTCAAACATTGCACTCAAGCAGATAACCCTAAAGAGACCAATGTCTCAACACCCTCAAGTCATGCCACTGCAGTAAAACCATCTCCCCTGGGTCTCCTCTGGTCTTTGTGTCGAACAGCTCAGGCCAACCTTCATGCAAAGCACCCGCAGCTCATCTTCATCCCTCTGCCCTAAAATCAGCCCCCCATGCTGGGCACTGCCCCAACACCCACCCGAGACATCCAAAGAAAAGTGGGGTTTACTGTAAAACACCCCTGGGTGATTCCATCCTTGAGACTCACCTTCTCTCCAGCAGGACCAAGAGGACCGGGATCTCCATTGGGGCCAGAGCGACCTTTGGGACCTTCAGGACCATCCTCACCTCGGGGGCCAGGAGGTCCGATTTCCCCCTGTTAATCACAAGACAAGCATTGACGAGGCAGGCAGGTCCCAGACCCCGTGTCTGCTGACAGCAGTACCCCTCACGGCTGCAATCGGATACTCCACGGAGCTGCTAATACCACTCTTGGAGAAAGCTGGTCTTCACCAAGAGGCTCAGATGAGACTGTCACTGTGTAAATTGCAGAGTGTTATTAGATCACCAAGCTTTCATTCACACAGCCTGGCCATTATCTCCGACAACAGCCGCCTTTTCCTGGGGTCCAATTATCCCATCTACACGCGGCGCCTCTCCACCGAAACAGCCTTCATTAGCTCCCATTGCAACGCACCCTTTTACCACCTCCCGGCTCCCAAAGCGCGGTTTGATGCGCGAGCGAAACCTGGGAAGTGTTTAATTGAGGGTTGAAGGGGGCAACTGGAGAAGAAAAGCTGGGCTGGAGCTTTTGTGCTGGAAATCGTTAGGAAACCCGAGAGCGGGGAGGACGGAGCTATTAACGTGAATTGTTGGGGCACCGCAGGCTTCGGCGCACAAAACAACGGTTGTCGTTTTGTCACGCAGGGTAACAGGAGATGCTTCCACCCTGCCACCACAGGCAGCCACCTTCTCGCTCTCCAGAAGCAGGATGGATGCACATTTATCTGCCAGGCTCTCGGGTACCCCTTGCCCTTTCATAGCTCCTTGCAAACCACAACGAGCTTGTTGGTGGGAACTGGAGTAACCAGCTTTGTTTGGAGGAGCTTAAGTCTATCTGCATTCGGCGAGGACAGGAGTCACCTCTCTGAGATGCCACCTTCGGTCCTTCTTCCTAGGCAAGGAGTGAGGGCTGGGGAAGCTTTCCATTGTTTTAACTGTTCAATTACACAACTAAATGCCAAGAAAAACGAAAGATTTGATGTCTACTTTTACAAGCCTTCACACAAGCCGCTCATTTTCCTTTAGATGATGGCAGAGCTCCCTCGATCCCTGGGAGGGCTCCAGAGTTTGGGGGGGGATACCAAGCCCTGGGCGATGCATCAGTCGGAGAGGGGACAAGGACAGTCCCCTGTCCCCGAGGGCTGGGTGTGGAGGATGGACAGACGTCCTGCCAACCCACGTGCTGCAGCCAGCGAGATCTGGGGGTTCTGGTGCTCTGGGTGTTCCGCTGATTTTAAAAACTTTTGCACCCAGGCAGCGTATCCTGCTGCCACAGGCAAGAGGGTAATATAAGGCTCCATCCCGGCTGCTTTGGTTTCTATTCAAGTGTGTTCCCGGTAACTTTACACTTCCCGTTGGTGGTACGGAAGCACATTAGGCTCAGCAAATAAAGACGCCTGCCTTACCCAGATGGAGTGTTACAGGGAAAAGAGCTACTGGCAATAAATACATGATACAGTAGGATCAGGCAGTATTGCCTAGCAGTCAAAGCAGCAAGACAGGGCCCTCTTATCACTCAGTTTTACTTTACCTTCAAGATGGGATTAGCAAATTTTGGGATTTACAACTGCTGTGCTTGACATGAACGTGAAACTCCTGGACTCCAACAGAAGCCCACCTTGCTGCTCACCCTGAGCTGTGTTTGCACAATAACGCACCGGCTTGAAAAGCAAAGTGCTACAAAGACCACACTGGTCATAGACTCTTACCCGGTCTCCTTTGATGCCCATGTCACCCTTGAAGCCAGGGAAGCCATCTTCACCCTAAATAACGGAGAGGGGAAAAAAGAGACAAGGTGTATACATGGAAAAAAGGAAAAATGCTCCTCCAACCTCACTGTATGGTCCCCAACTGGGGAGGGACAAGATTAGGTCCCTGCACCGCCCATCACATTGGCTTCTGTAAGTCTTTGGTTGCACAAACAGGCATGGAAACCCGGCCAGGCTGCAATGGCCAAGGTCCTCGAAGGATCACAGCAAGTGTTCCCTACATCCCGTCCTGGCTGCGCAGTCAAGAGCACAAATCTGGCCCAATGTGAATAACGACCCCTTGCCAGCACTGGGAACCAACTATTTCTGAAGTACAACGGGTTTTATTTTCACGGAGGATGTTTTATACCACGCTTCGAGGCAACCTCTAGGACGGTGGCAATATTTCTTTCAGCCAAGAAGGTTTAATTGCAGAGCTCAAATCAATAATGCATTTCGTCCTACAGCAAATCTCTCATCAGTAATGAAGACACAGTTCCCAGAAAGACTTTTAAAGTTTGGAAAGTCCCTGCCAGGATTCCCTAGCTGAAACTGCCAGCTTTGCTGCCAAATTGCTGGGGGCAGGAACGAAGGAACACGGATCTGTGTATGGCACTGAGTAAGATTTTTCTCCAGCTCCTGCTCTTCCTCTGGGAGAGTCAACTGCATCTTTGAGACGTGCAGAGATAGACTGTGTCAACCTTCTTATTGACTTGGGTTGCAGCGTATCCCACATGCTGCACTTCCCAGGTCCAGCTTTAACCCAGCTGTAACACACCACAAACCCTTCAGCTTCCTGGAATTGCTCAAGCTGCAAATTTTGGCTGGAGGAAATCACCCTGATGCTGGACCCTGAGCTATCGGCAACGGCTGACCCCAGCAAACAGCTCGAACCCTGACCATGCCACGGAGGCTCAGCTACTCTCAGGTCCAAGCCA